CTACCTCATTAATATGCATAGATTTGCTGTATCTATACCGTATTTGGGGATAAAGCAGTGAGTTTTCTGAACTCGTTAGCTGAAATATGTTTGAAAGAATGCTGCTCTGTCTTGAGAATGTGCGTCATATGACGACAAAAGCTAAGTATGTTTACAATGGAATCGAAAAAGATCGCCTTGAGGACAGTGTCAGCAAATATGCCCTAGCAAAGTCAACCAACAGCAGGCCAAGAGGAATCTGCCGTTGTCTTCCGCTAGTATAGACCATCGTATCTCTTGGTCGTACATTTTCACCACAAATAAAAGTGATCTTAACACTTTAAGCCAAAAGTTTGCTCAAGAACAAACCCTTCTTCGGATATAATGCCTTAATATGGCATACATGCATATAATCCTTTTTCTGGCTATCCGAAAACCAAGAAATGAATATCCCAGAAAGTTAATACTATCAAATCCTTAAAAAGGCCCTTTTCACATAATTTAGAGCATAGATGCGATTCATACGGTAAGCGTCCAGATCTGCCCATTTCAACTAATCGGGAAGTGGAAAAGTTATCGTTCGTTTCGGTTGAGATCACACTAAGGGAACGCCGCCTGATTAGAAACAATTCCTCTTTCTGCTGCTTTCTAAGAAAGACTTTTTTAAGCAATTGAATATCGAGGACGAGCTGAATACAATTCACAAATGCTGTAATCATGTGAAATCATGTAAGTCAGACATCAGCATAAACTCAAAGAATATGGGCTATCGGAAGAGGATTAATTAATTTAATGTCATCTGTTCAAGCAAAAGTAAGTGCACCAATTTATCTATTTGTCCTTGCGATGATTGTTTGGGCTCCTCCTATAAAGAGGTCTCCCCTATGCCTTCCTAAATGAGGAGAACCATTCCATACATAAAACGAAAATTGATATCTTAATCTACAATGGTGAATGCTCTTTAGCACACACACAAATATACACAAGCACATGCTTCTTTATTAACATATTACTTGAACTAACCAAATTACTTTATTCCTCATCAAAATGCCTAGATTTAGG